TAGCATTAAAAACGCCTAGTAAATATAGAGACTGCCGTAACTCTTACCGTTTTCTCAATTAAGCCGCTCGGAAATTACAGACAGACAGACAGACAGACAGACACTCAGACAGACAGACAGACAGACAGACAGACAGACAGACAGACAGACAGACAGACAGACAGACAGACAGACAGACAGACAGACAGACAGACAGACAGACAGACAGACAGACAGACAGACAGACAGACAGACAGACAGACAGACAGACAGACAGACAGACAGACAGACAGACAGACAGACAGACAGACAGACAGACAGACAGACAGACAGACAGACAGACAGACAGACAGACAGACAGACAGACAGACAGACAGACAGACAGACAGACAGACAGACAGACAGACTTAAACGAATAACGTAAGCTCACTTATTAATGATGCTGTAACTGAATTGTCCTTAGATTTCGTGGCAATTCTGCACGCTTCAACAATCTTCGGTTTCTGTCCAATGTTTTGAAAAATCTCGCTAACTGTGTCAATAAGTTCTCTATATATCTCGCTCCCTTGTGACGGACCAAATACAATGACGTTGCGACTGCGGTCCTCTTCCTCAACAACACGTTTTACTACGCTTTTGAGCGTTTCCAAGCTTATGACTTGCTCAGCTTTGGCTGTGAATTCTTCGCCATTGAACTGTATGTTTGTGTTTTAGGTGAGTCAATAACAGATGTCTTAACGGCGTTCTTCAACATTTCAAGTTGTCCAGTTTTACAGTCCGAAAGCTCTGCCTGAGTTTATCGGATAGCTTTATTCGGACGTTATTTTACCCGTACCGCAACCGGAAATAATGTGAACGGGCGTAGCCATAATTTTGAGAGGACATTAAAATAAACGTGACCGCTCAATATAGCTTATGACTTGCTCAGTTGGCTGTGAATTCTTCGCCATTGGACTGTATGACGTATGTTTGTGTTTTAGGTGAGTTAACAACAGATGTCTTAACGGCGTTCTTCAACGTTTCAAGTTGTTTAGTTTTACGCAGTCCGAAAGCTCTGCCTGAGCTTATCGGATAGCTTTATTCGGACGTTATTTTACCCGTACTGCAACCGGAAATAATGTGAACGGGAATAATTTTGAGCGGACATTAAAATAAACGCGACCGCTCAATGGTCTATTTAATTACAATTTAAAACGTCCGCCAATATTCGAACGGATATTAAAATTAAAATGAACGGACATTAAAATGAACGCTTATAGGGCTTAACTTGTAGTTGTAGCATTTGGCATTTGCAGCAACTATTAACTTATGTCCGTAAAAATAAAGTCCAATAAGGACAAATTAGCGTTGCCGTTATTAATTATTGATCATATTAGTTGTACAACTACAATTAATATTTTGGTATTCCCCTGCATGTGTCATGGTTCCAACAGGAAAATATTTCAATCTGCAATCCGAGTAGAATGTAAATATACTGCGATCTCTGATATATAGTTATACTGAAACATAGCCTGAGCTGCAACCGTTCACCACTACAATTAGTGCATACCTCAATACACATTACGGCCGGATCGGGATAATGCGATCCTGAGGGCTATAATTATTAAAAGGTGTTCTCACGAGATCTCCGACACATGAATTCTATCGATTCACCATTGAGTATGAATCAGCAATTAAACTACTGAGCTTACATATGCAGAATGATGGATGAGCACATATAATTGCCTGCTTCATAGTTTGTTCACCCAATCTATTCACCCAATGTTATTGTTATGATCAAAGCTGTGTTAGGACCATTTTCAAAAATATTTCGCCATCTATACTGTCACAATGTAAGTTTTACAATGGTACAACCTCCATAAAAATCTAAAAAAATCGGATAAAACCAACCACACTACTCGCGGCCTCGCCAAGCTGCAGAAATGGACATCATCAATTAAAACTTGTAGCAACCCTATACCAGATACCTTGTCTTATAACATAATATCGAAAATTCATCTGTGATCACATATTCCTCTCATGGGTGCAAAATGAATATAGTACTAAGTGCAGTTGCAGTTAACATCTCCACCCACAGAGAGCACATTCACCAAATTGCGTGCATTGCAGTAATGTGTTTCAAACTTCTCTCAAAGTAAAATAAACAGAAACTTCCGGTTTTTAACAAAATGTTCGTCTCGTAAAACTAAAGTTAGCTCCCCAGGAGCAAAATTTAGGACAAACTATGTTTTTAATTATCCCGAAAAGTCTTCGTTTGGGTCTAATAAAAGCTCTCAGCTTTTACTTTGCAGATTTTTGTCCTCTTAGGACAAGGTTTTTCAGAGGTTTTTCAGAATTTAAATATTAATTTATAAATTAAAAATATCTCTGTTTTGTGTTTGTTTTGTTTTTAAATGCATCGTAATATTTAAAAGGTATCTCAGCCAAAATATTTTTAAAACATAAAAATTGTAGCATGGTCAGTTTCAGACAAACTAAGCATAAATTATAGTAAAACAAATTTTAGTAAAACAAATTTAAATTTTGGTATTTATTAATAACAATCAAAACATATCATATCATAAAAATAAAGCCGCACGTTGGTTGACTGCCTCTGGCCTCAGTATGGTGAATAATTTAAGCTTGAAGGTGCCCTGCGCATTTACAGAACATTATGCGGCGATCACATGATCACGAGGACCTGTGAGCGCCAAATTTAATTTAAACTTTCTAGAAATCATACATCACTACGAGTTACTCATGCTTTTTTAATTTTTATAGGAGTGTAGATTGTCAGGTATTTCATTCATTCATACTTAGTCGGTTTAAAGCTTATTTATTTATTGGATTTTTTAGAAGAACGAATATCAAAGCATCAGCATGGATTTGTTAAAGGCAAATCTTGCTTATCCAATCTTTTAGAGACATTTGATAATATTCTTGATATTTTAGATGAAGGTGATCCTGTTGATCTACTGTATTTTGATTTTAGTAAGGCCTTTGGCACTGTCCCCCACTTTAGACTTTTATCTAGATTGGAGGGGTTTGGGGTCAAAGGAAAAGTTTTAGATGTTATTAAAGATTTTCTTACAGACAGAACCATGAGGGTTTGTGTAGAAGGACAATGGTCTGAGGTGAAACACGTGTTATCTGGTGTTCCCCAGGGGTCAGTATTGGGTCCTTTGCTATTTAGTCTTTATATTAATGATTTACCTGATATAGTCAAGAATAAGATTAAATTATTTGCAGATGACCTCAAGTTGATTGGTAATGCAGCTAACCACAGCAGTGTTGCTGAAGATATTGTAGAACTGGAAGTCTGGGAGAGTATTTGGCTTTTGAAGTTTAATCCTGCTAAATGTAAAGTTGTTCATATTAATCTTAATAGCAACCCTAACTTAAATTATTTAGTAAATGGCGTAGAACTTGAAGTATCTGATCAGGAAAAAGATTTGGGGGTTATTACCCATAGTTCCCTGCTTTGGAATGAACAGATAAAAGCATGTATTTCCAAGGCAAATCGAATGATTTGCTGGATTGTAAGGAATTTGATAATTAGAGAAAAATGTGTAATGATAGCCATCTATAAAGCTTTGATAAGACCTCATCTAGAGTATTGTGTCCAATTGTGGAATCCAGTTGCGGCTCATGGAAGTTGGGGGACTGTTTTGGAGCTGGAGAGCGTCCAGAGGCGGTTTACCCGTCTGATTGATGAGGTGGGTACTCTTCCTTACAGCCGTAGACTGGAAATCCTTAATTTGACAACGCTGGCAGAGCAGCGAATACGTGGGGACCTTATTGAAGCTTTTAAGGTTATTAATGGCTTGACTGATTATGGTTCAGACTTGTTCAGACCAAGCAGATCAGGTCTTAATCTGGTTTCATCCAATAGATGTAGTAAGAGTGTGACAAAGGTCAAGAATCTTCAGTGTTCTTTTCTTCCAGAGCGGGTTGTTCCTTATTGGAACAAACTCCCTTCGGAGGTGAAGAACTGCTTGACAGTTTTGAGTTTTAAAATTGGATTGGAAAGTTTTAAAAAGAATATGATTTCTAAATGTATTGTAAATGACTTTCATTTTTGGAATGTTTCGAAAGAAGTTTTAACAAGAATTGAAGGTACCAGTTATATCAGTAATAAGGAAAAACACAATGATTATCTGTGGTTCCATCCTTATGTAGCAAAGAAACGTTTTATAAATCTTTACTCCACTGGGAAGTATGAATAAATTACATTTTGTAATGTTGTTTTTTATTCATGATTAATATTTGATAAATTATTACCTTTAAATTTGATGGAGAAATAGTTATTTTTCCATGTAGTGTGATGATACTTTGTAGACATTAGTGATGATGTTATGTCATAATTTTTACTTTTACTTTACTTTTTTACTATTTATGTTTAGAACTCACTATTGTTTGAACTATGAAAGCAGAACGTAGATAATGGACAATATACCGACGACAATACCAAGGACCCGAGTGCCGCATTGACTTTTCCGGATCCGTTTTTACCGAAGGCTTATCCACCAGTTACTCATGCTGCATGTATAGTCTGATAATATTTTGTTTTATCTCTAGCAAGCATTCTGTAAGTTGGAGTGTCGTATTTATTATAGTAGAGCCAGCCAACCTCCGCATTACAATCTTTTGTGTGCCAGGTTCGTTTATAAAATCTAATCATATAATAAGATTGATCCAATAGTCTAAGATGAACGGTATATCTTAGCTCATCGTTATTAAAATCCTAATGGATGAATTAATCAAGTAATGTTCCCTTCCAACACAACTAAACAACAAACAAATGCTTGCTCACCAGTGGTGACGCAATCGTAGGGGCATGCAGTTGGTTCAGATAACTCTCACCCCGACGACAGCGTCGAGAAATTATCAAATTATGCATTTGCGCCATACTGGACACATTTTATATTTAATATTTTGTGGTTTGTAGAAATTAGTGTCATCTAAAGTATAGCTTAACTGGCGAGCAAGCATCGTCCCACTCGGCGGGGACGAAAATACCGAGTCCAATCACAGTTTTAATACTTTCAACACTACTATATAACAAATAATTTGAGGACTAGCAATGGTTATGTTAACAATGAACTAGAGACCTTGTTTGGACGATGGGGGGCTCAAGGAGGATGGATCACTGCTCCTAGAAAATGAGTTGAGTTGTCAGTTCGGTTCGTCATGTGTTCACATACCACTAGTCACTACACCTAATAAAAAACCATTGCTAGTCCAAAAAATTATACAGTAGTGTTGAAGTATTCCAAGATAGGCATTCTCTGAATACCTGTCTCAACAAATTTTTTGCCCTGAATTTATTTATTTTTACTCTGAAAATTCTGCTCAAACAATTTTACCTACACACTTAACAATTTCAAACCAAATCACCCCATCCAAACCCAGTTTGTCCTGTTGTTGTTAGTGTGTCTGACCTTTGAATGATTTACATATTTTTGAATACTTCAATCACTCTTTTGAAAGTTCTTGAAAAAATTCTATTCAATCATATTCCCACTTAACCCACCTCATATCACTCACAATGAACCGGCTGATGCTCTTCTCCTTTCAGGTGCAGGGGTCTGTCCAAGCTGGCCCCCTGGACTCCGGACATATCTCTGATATCATATCATCATGGCTACTACCTCAAGTGCTAGTACCCAAAGGCGTTCCCCTAGACACACTCCTCCTCCTACCAACCCAGGATCCAGAGCTAGCATGTCACCATCCGGCAGAGGAGCTTCCTCCCAAAAGAAGAAACCTCTAGCAGACAACAAAGCCCTGCGCAGGAACAGCCCTAGTGCAATGGCCCAGAAAGCTGTGCTGGGTAAACGCCCATCAAAGTCACCCCAAGAACAACCAGAGACATCTGTTCTTAAACCTCCAGGTAATCTGGTTATTGAAAAGATCAGCCCAAACCTGATATCAGCTTTAGAATCATCGAACCTCAGAGAGAGCCCCAGCAGTCCAATGAGCCCTCTGTACAAGTCCTTTCCTCCATTCTCCCGTGCTGAAGAGTCTGCTGAAGAACTTGAAATCCAGGATAAACCTACAGTAAAACAACGGGCTTCAAAGAGTGATTGTCCTTGCCGATCAACATCAGATGGTAAGGAATGGAAGTTCAAGTGTACCAGATGTTTTCAGCACTGGCATGCTTCCTGTTGCAATCTCAAGGGTGCTAACAACATTCAGCACGATACACCTCTTGAAGCTTCTCTGAATATGATTCTCTCAGAATGGCTATGTCCATGGTGTTTCGATACATCATTCCCCAGACCAGGCTCCAGCATGTCAGCCAAGATGGACAACAACCTAAAGAGCTCTGTAGACTACAGCCAGAACATACAGGCTATATCAGATGCTATTTCTAATGCTGTTGGTAACAGTATGCCTACTGTGGAGATTGTATCCCTGGAGACAAGACTGAAGAAGCTGAGTCAAGAGATTCATGAATTTCAGCAGTCCAGAAGTCCATCTGAAGCACCACCTGCTACAGAAATCCCCCTCCCTAAATGCACAGAACCTCCAGTGTGTGATTACCTGGTCGATGTGCTAAGTGCTGAGATCCTCAAAGAAGTTACAGAGTTTCTCCTGGAGAGCCAAGCTAGTAATAAGTTCATCCCGAAGAATGGAAGACAGGTCCTCAAGTTTGGGGAAGACTACTCTTATACTGGTGATTCAGACCCACCCCTATCCCCCACAATCCCAGCACCCCTTGCCTCAGCCATAGACGCAGTTACATCAAAGTGCAGACTGACCCATAAGCCCAACTCCATCCTAATAAACTACTACCCTCCCTCAGTTGATACCACCACTAGTAGCAAGCTCCCTTTTCACTCTGACGATGAGTCTGAGATTATTGCTAACTCAGAAATTGCTACTATCAGCATAGGCGACGTCAGGAAGGTGTGCTTTAAGTGCATCTATGAGACCGGAAACGAAGCCTCAACTGAGTATGTTCATAGTGTGAGTCCAGAATCTAACTCAGTGTATGTGATGACACGATCGTCACAAGCCTGGTATCGTCACGGTATTGATGAAACAGGTCCTGCTGAAACTCAGTCTTCTGTGCAGACAGGAAGGTTCTCCATCACACTGAGAACTGTGAGCAAACAGTTTAGCCGGAGCTGCATCATCATGGGCGACTCTAACACCAAGCCCATCAAGTTCGGTGTCGGTACTGGAACCCTTGGACAGTCCTTCCCAGGTGAACGTGTTAAAGCCAACAAGGTCAGTGCAATAGACCCTAAGCTCTGCATTGGTTATAGCAACGTCATCTTAGTTTGTGGGACCAACGATCTACGAGTTGAAAATGTGCAGTCACCTGGTGATATACACCAGCTGGTAGACATTCTCCACCTGAAAATCCAGCAGATCCAGAAACTGTGCCCTAAGGCGAAGTTGTTTGTCACAGCAGTTTTACCGTCTAGACTCCCTAAGATGAATAAAAACATTATGGCATTCAACAGCTTGGTTGATGAAATGTTGTACTCTAGCTTTAACCAGACTGTATGGCACCTTGGTGTTGGCCACTTTTTAGACGGTAAAGGGTTGCTTGCTATGAAACTCACGAGAAATGGTGATGAAATCCATCTCGGAGAGCTTGGTATTGCTAAATTTGTGAGATGTCTGAAACAGTGGGTGTATGTGAGGGAGAGACAGGAGAGAGTAAGACAAAGGAAGGCCACCCGACCAGTGGGAGTTTATCCCACTTAGTTTATCATGATTATGAAACTTATTAAAGATGTGTGCGACCCCTGTAGTAAATACATTAATATTGGCCAGCCACTCTTAGAATGTGAAAATTGCAGCAAAGTTGTTCATACTAAGTGCTTCAGATCCGCGAAATTTACAAGCAAAAACGGTCTATGGATGTGCAGTGATTGCTGTAGTACAATAGAAGATAGGTATTGCCCATTTCCAAGCAGCCAAAGATATGATGATTCAGATAAATTCTATGATACAAACAACCAGGAAGATGTCACCATAGCTAAATTCTCTTCAATACTTGAAGACTGTAAGCGTTACACAAAACAAGAACTAGCAAACTCAATCAGCAAACTTTTTCCTGAGAAAAATAAAAATTCTGCTTATCTGCCCGCTCTGTTTTGCAATATAGATGGGTTTGCTAGTAATTTTGACAGCTTTTTAATAGAACATAAGACCCTCCCGTGTAATTTTGATGTCATTGGATTGGCTGAGACCAACATCGATCCAAGCCAACAAGGCTTATACCAAATCCCCTCCTATACAACATTTTGTCAAGTACCATTCCCTGATAAGAAAAAAGGAACAGGAGTATCCTTATATGTCTCTGATCGCCTGAATGCTGTAGTAATCGAAAATCTATCTCACTGTACAAAAGATATTGAGTGCTTATTTGTTGAAATTACTCTTAGCTCGGGTGATAAACTGACATATGGGGTTGCTTATCGTCCTCCAAATGGCTGTAGTGAGACCTTTTGTCAAACTCTTGAGGATATATCTAAGCAGTTGGCTGGTAAAAAGTTCCATATTCTTGGCGATTTTAACTCTAACCTCCTTAATGTACAAACCTCCAGCCAGCTATTTGAGGACACGTTACTTCGTAACAATATGTATCCTACTATATCACTTGCTACCCACTTCCGTCCTAACTGTAAAAACTCATGTATTGACAATATCCTCACATCAGAGATAGATCATGTACTTCTCTCCGGTGTATTGAATGATAGGATTGGTGACCATGCCTTTATATTCACCTTCACGTCAATTCCTACCGAAAACAGTACTGAAAAACTTAAACATGTTCGCTACTATGATTATTCAAGTTCCAAACTCACTAATTTTGTTAATGAACTCGAGGTGAAGGTGAATGACTTGACTCCCTCGGTAAACTTCAATGAGTTCTTGGACTGCTTCAATAAAACACTTGATAAACACTGTAAGCTTGATGTACCAAAAGTTACCAAAAGGACACCCAAACTCAACCCGTGGATTACCGATGGAATCATTGTCTCAGTTGAAAGAAAACATGAACTCTGTAGAGACTGGTCAAGCACTGTAACAAATAGAAACCCTGAGGGTAATGTACTGCTCTATAAAGTCTTCAGTGACTACCGAAGAATGCTTAAAAGTATTATCAAGGTCGCCAAACGATCGTACTACTGCAATGAAATCCATAAAAATATAGAAAACAGCAAAAAAACGTGGCAGATAATCAATGAGCTCAGGGGCAAGAAAAAGAAGCAAACTAAGCCTCCCTTTATCATAAACAACGAACGAATCATGAATCGTAGAGTCATAGCCAATGGATTCAACTCTTACTTTGTTTCTATTGCCCCTAAGCTCAATGAAACACTTAGTAGCAGTGAGGCCTCTGGTTTACCAATTCTCCCTATAAAAACATTCTATGATTTCCTTGGAAAGACTAATGAAAAATCGATTATGTTAGAAGACTGTACACCTTATGAGATAACGGAAATAATAAAAGGATTTGAAAATGGAAAAGCAAGTGATATTCCTGTTAGTGTAATCAAAAGATCATCTCACGTAATTACACCGATCCTTAGTCGATACATCAACATCTTAATGTCTAATGGCACGTTCCCCGACGTTCTAAAGACTGGTAGAATAACTCCTGTATTTAAGAAGGGAAACCCTGAAGAGATAGAAAACTACCGCCCAATCTCTACTCTCTCTATATTTGGTAAAATCTTTGAAAAGATCATTTACTCAAGAATATATTCGTTTGCTAGCTCACAGGGTATAATATCTAAAACACAATTTGGCTTCAGGCAGTCACACTCTACTTCACATGCAGTTAATCACTCAGTAAACCTTATAACTGAATCTCTAAAACTTAAGCATCATGTCTTAGGCATATTCATAGACCTTAGCAAAGCTTTTGATACAATAGATCATGGTACATTACTTGTCAAATTACAGGGCTATGGGATACGTGGGGTGGCAAATGATCTTATAAAAAGTTACTTAACAAATAGATCACAATATACTGAAGTTGTTGGTGAGAAATCTGACGCCTTGAAAATACAGTTTGGAGTCCCTCAGGGTTCGATTCTTGGACC